GGGTCATATTTGCTGAACTCCTTGATGATGTACTGATCATCTGATCCCCTCAGCATTTGCATGTCGCAGAAAGCATACGACATGGCGAAGTCGATCGGATGAAACCGAGGGCGGGGCACAGAGAATAAGCAAGAAGGCCAAGCCATGATGTGCAAACCAGAAGACGAACCGAAGGAATGACTGATGGGCGCGAGAGCCCTTCTTTTATACGTGCGTTCCGCCGCTCGAGGCGCAACCTATCGGCATGTGTCGGAAATAATAATATTGAACGTGTCTCAACGTGTGTTTGACATCCACGCGCCTGCCGCGCCTGCCGCGCCGAGCGCCTGCCGCGCCGCAACCTGCCCGCACGGCTGCTGACTGGGTTGCCTACCTGCCAGTGGACCTCGAGCGCGTAGCGTCCGCTCGGCTCGGCTCGACTCGGCTCAGCTCGCTCACGGGGTGCAGGGAGTGCGGCCAGAGGCTCTAGACCCAGGGTGAGCACCTCGTGGTCTTCACCCTGGTCCCGCACATGAAGGCCCTGGCGGTGGAGGGATCGTAGCCATGCCTTGGCTGTGTGCACGGCGAGGAGGGAGGGGAGCGCGGTCCCCCTGACCCAAGCCAGCCGGCAACAGGGCTCCGCCCGGCAGTCGGCGCGATGCTCGGCGGGCAGTCGCGGGGGTGAGGCGGGGGAGGGGAAGGGTTCTCGCGGGGAGCGCGGGGGTTGGAGGGGAGCGCGGCTCGGCTGGCGGGCGAGACAGCCGGCGCGGCTCGTCATTGTTCTTCTGAGTCTGGTATCGTGCGGACGCCAGAGAGCTTGTGACCTTCTGTGTGTTTGCCGCTGCCGCTTGCCATGGATTTGATCAGAGAGTACGCCAGCTCCTCGTCGAGCAGCGACAGCGAGTCTTCGACCAGCTCTTCGTCGACCAGCTCCTCTTCGACGTCATCATGCTCCACCTGCTTGAATTCAAGCTCCAGCACATCGTCAAGCGCGACATCGAGCTCGCCTGTGGGGAGAAGCTTCAGCGGGGATACGATCTGCCTCGACCACAGTTCGCTGGTGCGCGAAATCGACGCCATGGACGTAAGTACCTCAAATGCTTGTGTGAGGACACTGTTTTGCGAATGAATTTGAATAAAAAAACCAATGTCCTCAAAAACAGTTCTATGTCGAGACAATGTTCAAAATGCGATGTAAGCCACGGTAATACGTTACCGTGTGGCTCTCTCTAAGATCTCTCTCCGCGAAAAGAACACGAAACGACATAGAGCTGTTTTATTTCAGTCGATCATCAACCGCGTAGCCGCCCAATGCGGCACGACTCGCGACGTTTTGCTGCCCAATGCAGCCGGTTTGTATTTTAAAGGGTGAGTCCAATGTGTGCTTAAGCGAGAAATCGCTCTGTCCTTCCCTGTATTTTAAAGTGCACTCGGCATGATTTGCCTTGCTGCAGCTGTAAATATCACGCTTGCATGCTTTTGAGGTTAAAACGTGTTGAATCTTGTCTGACGCGGCGGCCGCGCGGCGGCCGCACCGTGAGACGCGGGTAGGGCCGCGGGCGCGGGGAGAGGAGGAAGGGGTTCGTCGCCAGTCGTCGCCAGGCGCTGGCTCAGACAGGCGAGGGGCGGGTGGAGGGGGAAGGCTGTTTGCCGCGCGCTGTGCTGTTGCTACGCCAGGGACCGTCCGTCAGCAGGGGGCGAGTGTAAATTCGTGGCTACGCGTGCATGCGTGTGTGCGGTGTGTGCGTGTGTGTGCGTGTGCGCGCACACAGGGCTTGAGGGAAACAGCAAAACTATCACGCCCGCCAGGCCGCCAGCCCCCTGGCCCAGGTCGGGGAAGAAGAAGTCCGCGAGAAGCAGCCGGCATGCCGCCAGGTCGCGGACTAGGTCCGGACCAGGCCGGGGCAGAACTTCGACAGCAATGTTGAACCAGGGGCAGGGCCAGGAGCCTAGTGTGGGAGGGGAGGGGGAGGAGAGTGGCGTCAAGACAACCGCAGGGGCGCGCACCTCGAGAAGCTTACAGGCGCACGGGGCTTCAGCTCAGGGGCGAGGGGTAGGCAAATGCCGTGATTAATAGGTGTTTAATAGGTGTTTGTGACTACTCTTTTTCAGTCGGTCAGCTGGGAGGCCCCATTGTTGGCGGGCACCCCCGACAAGGCTGCGCAGTGCATGAGAGAGGATGCGGTGACTGTCAGCGCCCGCGAGCTTTCGTTCGGGACGGACGCGCAGGATGGCGTAAGTTACCCCGTTTTTTTTTCTCTATCGTTCAACACAGCACTTGTGTACTGTGCTCTTACATGCGCATTTCTTGTTACAGTTCGAAGTGGAGAATTTCTGTGAAAACTCACTGGATATGCCAGTTTTGGAGTGCTTGAACAAGACTTTATTTGCTGAGGAGGAAGTGATGGCGGACGAGCCGGTGCCTGAGGTGGAGCCGGTGGCTGAGGTGGAGCACGAGCCTGAGGTGGAGCACGAGCCTGAGGTGGTGCTGATAGAGGAGGGTGCGGAGGAAGTTGATGTCGCCATACCGTAAGTTTAAATTATCCACACACACAGACAAACTTTTTTTGATCTACGCATCCATCTTATATTTTTGTTTGTTTTCAGTGAGGAAGTGTTCAAAAGAAAAAGAACGAGGGCAAGGAGACCCCCCACTCCAGCAGCAAGGCCTGCTGTGGCCCAAAAGGCAGGGCCTTCATATGTTCAATCCTTGAAGCAGCATCCTATGGGGAAGGTCCCTGACCCCGTGTTCCATTTACCACCACCCCAGCCCCACCAAGCACTATTGGTTGTAAGTGAAAGGACAACACAAGACTTTTATGAATAACAAATTTAAAAAAAATGCTCTACTCATGTTTTTTTCTTTGTTTAAGGATAACGTGGATATGAGGGATGTGCTAAACGCCAAGCGGGCTCGTAGAGCACAAGAAGAAGGGAAGAACAAGCGACAAAAGAAGGAGTGATGTTATTTTTTTGTATTCTCCTTTTTTATTTTTTTCTCTCTGCACATTTTTTTTGTCTATTTCATTTGTGCTCTACTGAATATTTTGTACTCTATTTTGTTTATACTAAAACTTTTTCATTGAAGAGCATACCACATTATGTCTTTGTTATTTCAATCATCCTTTTATTTTCGTTGAATCAGATTTTTTTAAAGCAATCATAGTTGAAATTTTTTTTTGAGTGTGACATTTTAAGTCAAAGAATTTATATGTTTCATTGTCAGCGAGTAACTTTAAAGAAACTATCTTAAAAACTAGAGAAAGAAACTTAAAACTATTGTGAGAAAACAGAATTTTACTTAGAAATATTCTCAGGCTTAATCAAGGCGTTCATGTTTAATCCAGTTGGAATCGTTGCTGAACTTCGATAAAGTTGTGTCATGAGAACTAATGAAGTAGGTATGTCGCATCACTAAGACTAAGAAAATCTAATTTGGAATGATATTCCATTTTTAAATCTATTCTAAGTAGAAAAGAAAAACAAAAGAAAGTTAGTTGCCTTGTGACTTCTTTTAGCTTGATGTCAACGGCTTTTGACTCGGAAAAGTTTTATCTTTGAGTATCACTAAAGTAAATGCCTCCCACTAATGAGGCTATGCATACCTATTTTAGAATGCTATTCCA